CCTGCCGTCACCCTTTTTTCTCTCCCCCTGGCTGCGTTTCTTTTCCCAGCCTTTTTATATCAAGTGGAAGACCCTAAACCCTCATTTCAATGGTCACCAGTAAACCTCAGCTCAGCCCTTCTCACTTGGCCATCCGATTGGATTCTTGCATGAAACAGCTTTTTCTTTTTCTTCTTTTTTCCTTTTTTTTTCTCTTTTTCTTTCCAGTTAATTAATAATAAAAAAATATAAAGAAAAATAACAACTTAATTAAAATTGAATAAAATGAGCAAAACTAGGCATAAAAAGATAAAAATGAAATGCTAAATTTTTTTAAAAAAAAATTTTTGTTTTGTTTTTCCTTTTTTTTAATTAATAAACCGTAAACTTGAATCTAAAAGAAATAAAACATATTTTTGTGAATGATTTTCTTTTTTCGATAAATTCTATGCTAAAATGACTAAAAATAAAATAAAAAATAAGAGACTAAAAGTAAATAAAAACTAACATGAAAACAAAAATAGTAAATAAAACTATACTAAAAATTTGGTGTCTACAGTTTGCCCCTCTTTGTCTGAGTTTTGGAAAAACTTGAGACAAAGAAGTAGACACCAAATATTTACCTGTGTTATTCGGCTACAAACTACTCAAACGACTGACACTTTTGAAATGAGGACTGACCCCTTCATTAAAAATTTTAATGGGACTGACCCAGATGAGAATTTTAAAGCGGGGCTGGCCCGAACCAGATAATTAAAATGGAACTGACCCAATCAAGAAATTTAGACGGGACTGACCCGAACAGGAAATTTAAAATCGGGACTAACCCGAACAGGAAATTTAAACGGAATGTACACTAGTGGGGCTGACCCATGTTTAGTGGCAGTGATGAATGAAATGCCTTGACAATCGGTCAGTGGAATTAAACCCGAGCCTGTCGAGAAAATCAGAAATAGAAAGGCACGTTAGTGGGATGAACCCAATGCTAACGGAGATAGACTAAAAACAACACACACGTTAGTGAGATAGACTCGATGCTAATGGTGGTTGAATAAAAACGCACACGTTAGTGAGATAGACTCGATGCTAACGGTGGTGGAATAAAAACGCACACGTTAGTGAGATAGACTCGATGCTAACGGTGGTTGAATAAAAACACACACGTTAGTGAGATAGACTCGATGCTAACAGTGGTAGAATAAAAAGCACGTTAGTGAGATAGACTCGATGCTAACGGTGGTAGAATAAAAACGCACACGTTAGTGATATAGACTCGATGCTAACGGTGGTGGAATAAAAATGCACACGTCAGTGAGATAGACTCGATGCTAACGGTGGTTGAATAAAAATGCAGACGTTAGTGAGATAGACTCGATGCTAACGGTGGTAGAATAAAAAGCACACGTTAGTGAGATAGACTCGATGCTAACGGTGGTTGAATAAAAACGCACACGTTAGTGAGATAGACTTGATGCTAACGGTGGTGGAATAAAAACGCACACGTTAGTGAGATAGACTCGATGCTAACGGTGGTGGAATAAAAATGCACACGTTGGTGAGATAGACTCGATGCTAACGGTGGTTGAATAAAAATGCACACGTTAGTGAGATAGACTCGATGCTAATGGTGGTTGAAGTCAGTGAATTAAATGTGGTTGTCAAGAAAGGAGGTAGAAGGGTGCGCGGCGAACGCTGAGACTCGCCAACAAGAAATTAAAATTTGAGATTGAAATTGATTTCTTCAAGAAATAAGAAGTTAAACCTAATTTTTGATTTTTCCGTTTTTTCCTTTTCGTTTGGGAGAAACTTTTCCAGGAATAATTTTGCCCAGTCTCCACCACTTATTGTGCAACCGATCATTTGATTTGCATTATGGCAGGGTTGCTCCTCCTTAAAACTTTGATTCATCTCTTCTTTGGTCCGAACCCTTCAATTCTTGGGTGATACTCCACAGTCATATAAAAATTGCCCCAGTTTGTTGTTATTGGACCATTGGACCTACAAAAAGTAAAAATAATGGTAATGATAGATAATGCCACCACCATCCGATCAATCTTACTTTCAAGAAATGTGTAAACATGAGTACTTGGACGTTTTTCCGATATAGCGAAAACTTCACTTTACTCTGTGAACTGTGTCAAGATTCCTCAACTTCCAATGCTAACAAGACCCTTGGTATCCAGTCAATCATAGGGGTTGCCATTTGATAAATTGTTGACCCAACTTCGCTCCTCGAATCACATTCCATCTTCTTGACTTCCAATGCTAATAAGACACTTGGTATCCAGGTAATTCCAATAAATCACAAGGATTGCCATTGGATAAATCCAAAAGATAAATGAGACCATGAAACAAATGAAAGAATATTATATTTACACAATCAATGATGAAAATCTCCGTGATTTGAAAACAAAAATTAATTTAAGAAAAATGAATCTGTAAACTTAACAATTTATATTGGGTAATCCAAAACCCTTTAATCTCAAACAAATTATCACCGTTGACTCTTTGGATATCATCCTTCCAAAATTCAATGTCGGCAACCGAACCACAAGGTGAATAGAAATTTCAACGAACTGAGTCACTAGCCTTTCAAATCCAAGCTTACTTCTCCTTATAAAATCCTACCCTAGTGCCCTTTCGGATTTTCACTAAGGCTATCCTCACCTTTTTATTTTTCTTCCCTTTCTTTTTCTTCTTTTCTTTTTCTTTTTCTTCTTGGGTGATACTCCGGTTTTCACTAATGAACCAATCCTGCCGATAGCCTTCATCAATTCAAAATGTGTTTAAGAAATGATGGCATCAGTGCGACAAACCTTCCCTTGCAAATTGGCGAAGATGTATTGACAATATTTGTCATTTGATTAAGAAAATTTCCTTAAAGAGGTGGTGCAAAGAACGGAAGTCAGGACTTTTGGCTTTTGTAATGGGGTCTGGCGGGGTGATAAGAAAAGGTTAAGGCTTGAAGGCAGATTTTATGAATGGTTTAAATGATCTAAGATCGCATTGTTGTGCCAACCCTATTTTAGGGTTAAATCAAAACTTGCCCCAGTTTATTCTCAATTGAGGCTCTCTTTTCTTTCATTTTTCTTTTCTTCCTTTTTCGTTTTCGGCCTTCTGCCATTTCATTGAAATTTTCAAAATTTGCCCCAGTTCATGCTTAGTCGAGGTTCTCTTTTCTTTCATTTCCTTTCTTTTGGCCTTCTGCCATTCCTTTGAACTTTTCAAAATTTGCCCCAGTTTATTTTTTAATTGAGGTTCACTCTTTTTCTTGTCTTTCATTTCCATTTCTTTCGGCTCAAACTTACCCCAGTGTGGGGTTTGCGATTCTCAGGGCTTGTCAAACGAAATAATTTATTCTGAAGGTTCAAAAGGGATAACTAGGGATAAAATGTTTAATTGGAAAGGAAGAGGGCCTAACTTTCATTCCATTCTTCGCATTAACCCTAAAAGGAAACTTCCATTTATCAGATGAAAATTTCTTATACATCTCCGAATTGATTGGCTGAGGAAACAAGTGCTCCACCAAGCAATATCTTTTTGATAATAAGAGCACCTTGCCAATTCGTGGCGAACTCTTCTTTTGGCTTCATTTTATACTGACGAAAACCACCTTAATGCTTTGCTTCCTCGTCTGAATGGTCATGATTTGACCCTTTAATGGTAATCACGGACCAATCCTTTTGATCATATTGACCATGATGGACTGTGTTTAACTGCTTCTTATTCCTAATCTGGATCCCGATTCGGCTTGAACTTTTTTTTTTATTCCATTCGGGCTTCTTTGAAACATTTTCGAATGTCTCTTCGCCACTCCTCACATTTTGAAATTCAAATTAACATTCGTGAGTGCCGCGCCCCATTTTTTGCAAATAAAAATAAATGGTTTAAAAAGTGAATTTTGGATTGATTTTTGATTTGAAAAAGGATTTTTGATTTAAAAGCAAATGAAAAAACACGGGTCTAAATGGGACATGAAAATGCGACGATTTGACCCAAAATACAGTTTAAAAAGTGTTTTTGAATGAAAAATGGAGTCGCCACTTGGTATTGAGTTAAGGTGTACCAAGTCACCTTAAAAAATAAATTTTGAGTAAAATTATAGAAAAACCCTTTTAAACGACTCCTAAGTCTACAAAAATCAGAGAAAGTGTTCGAGAGTCACGTTTGATGAGAGGGAAGGCAAGGACGAGGTCCAAGGCACCCTCTCAACCTAGCCAAGGCTAGTTGCGCGATTTAGTCAAAGATTTTCTTATTTTAACCTAAAGATTTATCACATTTGGATGTATTATATGAATGCAAACCCTAGACCAAGGGGCTATCGGGGGGCAAAATTTCTCTTCAAAGCTCACTTGGTACCAGTCACATTAATTGTGACGCCCAATAAAGACTCTTTGAAGAGGTCACGAATAATGCAAAAATATGAGACTCTAAGAAAAGAAAAAGTAAAAATAATTATACAAATATACGTGACCTAAAGGAATGCATCATGTCGGGTGCGGGGGACTAATATTCGTGACTTCAATGTTCCCTTTAATAGAGGGAATACGAGCGTGCTAATGCTAGAAAGCCAAACTCGTCCATATCCCATACTCAAGGGGTTATTCCCTAATCTAATCAAGCAAATGAACTAACCTAGTTCTAATGCTTATATGAAATGCAAGTCTAATGTCATGTTTCCATACAAAGGGGTAAGGAATATATATAAGGGAAAATATGGGGGAAGGGGTATACATATATAAGGAAAGTGTCATTCAACATGGTGAAAGAGTCCCTAGAAAGTAAAGACATGCATGAGATGAAGCGATTTTATCACACAATCATGATTTAACGCGCGAAGGGCTCCTAAGGGTCTAGCGTTGGACTAGCCCATATTTCTACATTTCTCACTAGCGTTGGACTAGTGAGAAATCGAACAAGAAAATCACAACTAGCGTTGGACTAGTGTGATAACGTCACTAATTAATTATAACCTCATAAAAGCATAATAAAGCGAGTAAACCTCATTTGCTACTCGTCAGGATAATAAGCCTCGGCCTTTTCGATTCCTGAATGCCTGGACCTCTTCGCTTTCACTGTTGGAAGTGATCCGCTCTTCTTGGGAGGCGCCTGTTAGTGGGTCTCCCTGGCGGGTGCTGTGTTCCAAGCTTTTAGCTGCACGGAGGGCAATTCAGCATTGGAATAAAAGTTCCTTTGGAAATATTTTTGATAATGTTAAGGTGGCTGAGCTCCGGATGGTGCAAGCAGAAGCGGCGGCGGAGAGTACGGAGTCAGAGGAGGCTCACATTGGCCTGCAAGAGGCGCAGGCAAATTTTCGGCATGCGTTGGCAGTAGAGGAGCAGTTTTGGAGCCAAAAGGCGAGGGTCAAATGGCTTTCACACGGGGACCGGAACTCTAAGTTCTTTCATGCAGTGGTTAGGCAACGAAGGGTTCAGGGTACGATTCATCGTATCAAGACTTCGGCGGGGCTTTGGGTAGATAAGGATGGGGACATTGCCGAGGAGGCCATTCGATTTTTCTCTGGGTTGTTTACAGAGTCGGCGGTGCCTAGTTCTGAGCTGCTGCCGTTGATTCCGCCTACCATTTCGCGGGAGGACAACTTGAGCTTGGAAAATATTCCCTCCATGGAAGAGGTAAAAAGGGTGATCCATGTCATGGATGGAGATAGTGCGGCAGGGCCGGATGGCTTCACGGGTAAATTCTTTACCTTTGCTTGGGAGGTCATTGGTCAGGATGTCTATAATGCCGTGGTGAGTTTCTTTTGTGGGGCAGAGTTGCCGCGATTTATCACCTCGACTTCTATTACCCTTATTCCGAAAATTCCCAATCCTCAAGATTTTTCTAATTTTAGGCCAATCAGCTTGTGTAATTTCATTAATAAGGTTCTGTCGCGTCTTTTGGCGGACCGGTTAGCTGGACTATTGCCAAAGTTGATCTCCCCCCAGCAATCGGGATTTGTCCGGGGCCGAAACATTGTGGAGAACTATCTGTTAGCCCAAGAAATTGTTGCGGGCATCGGGAAAAAGTCGAGAGGGGGGAATGTCGTACTCAAATTGGACATGGCCAAGGCCTATGATCGGGTTTCCTGGCTCCATCTGATTGGGGTATTGAGGAAGTTTGGATTTGGCGAACGTTTCATTGACATGGTTTGGCGTCTGATTTCAAACGTCTGGTTTTCAGTTATGATCAATGGGGCGGCACACGGCTTTTTCAAGTCCTGTAGGGGACTCCGTCAGGGGGACCCGCTATCCCCTGCATTATTTGTTATCGGAGCGGAGGTCCTCTCACGAGGGCTGAATAATCTGGCGGCCCAGTCATCTTTTTTGGGATTTACGGTTCCTCAAGGTTGCCCGGGGGTAACCCATTTGGCGTTTGCGGATGATGTGTTAATCCTTGCTAATGGGTCTGCAACAGCCCTTCGTCGGGTTATGAGGGTACTAGAGGCGTATCAGCGGTCTTCTGGGCAAATGCTCAATGCACACAAAAGTGGATATTTGGTCCACCCCTCCCTGTCTGTGGCTCGTCGTAGGGTAATTGAGCGGATTACGGGTTTCTCGCGCCAGGTTTTCCCCACCCGCTACTTAGGATTCCCTTTGTACATTGGCAGGTGTAAGACGAGTTTTTTTGCGGAGGTGTGTCAAAAGGTGATGGGGAAAATTTTGTCTTGGAAGTCGAAGTTTTTATCTTCGGGGGGGAGGCTCATTCTGATCAAGCATGTTCTTTCTGCTATTCCAGTCCACTTGCTTTCTGCTGCAGTGATGCCCAAAGCAGTGTTTCGAATCATTGAGAGAGCTTGTGCCAACTTTTTATGGGGCTCGTCGGACGAGGGCTTCAGGTACCATTGGATGGGTTGGAGGAAATTGTGCCTCCCACCGGAGGAAGGGGGTGTGGGGTTTCGGCGGCTCCAGGATGTATATACTGCTTTCTCATACAAGCTATGGTGGCAGTTTCGGACAGGGTCGTCTCTCTGGACAACCTTCATGCGCGCAAAGTATTGTCGGGGAATTCATCCTTGCCAAGCGGAGTGCAAGCCATTGGTTTCAGCGATTTGGAGGCGGATGCAGGATGTCAGCCGACAGGCCGAACTCTCCATGGTGTGGCTGGTTCAGGATGGGTCGTGTCATTTTTGGTACGATAATTGGCTGGGGTGTGGCGCTTTGTTTCTCAGGGCTCCAGTTGTGTTGAATCTATCTTTCCGGGACTTCATCATTCAGGGTCGCTGGAATGCCCAGCTTCTGTCTCAGGTGCTCCCAAGGGATATTATTGCTGTGGTGCTGAGTAAGTCGGTTCCCAATGAACAAAGTGCGGATGAGGTAGTATGGATGCCGACAAGATCTGGCAAGTTCTCCTTAGCTTCGGCCTATCAGGAGGTACGCCCGGTTGGTAACTCTTCTTTTATGTTTTCTTCGGTGTGGCATAGGCCGCACCCGGCAAAAGTATCATTCTTCATGAGCCGCCTCTTATGGGGCCGGCTGCCCTTGGATGATGTGCTTCACACGCTTGGGTTTCAATCAGCTTCCAAATGTCGATGTTGTTCTCATCCAGCGGCCGAGTCTTTTGAATATGTCTTTTCGACGGGGCAGGTTGACGAGGCAGTCTGGGGGTTTTTTGAGGGGTTGTGTGGCATCTCAAGTTCAGCTCCTTACGTCCGGGCCCGCCTTGCCTCTTGGTGGTTGGCCTCGCCCAGCTCGAGGCGACGGAAGGCTGTTTTTCATATTATGCCGAGTCTCATCTGCTGGCATCTTTGGAAGGCGAGGAACCGTGCAGTTTTTGAAGGGATTCAGCCGCAATCCAGCTCCGTTTGTCAGGCTATCTTTCAGGAGGCCAAGGTTTTGCTTGAAATTGAGCTTAAGGAACGGGTTGCGGCCCAGTCATTCTTGCAGTTATGGGAATGGGCATCCCAGTCACGAAGGAGGTTTGGGTTTAAATTGGTTTGTTGGAAACCAGCTCTAGAGGGGGAGTTTACCCTGAACACAGATGGCTGCTGCAAGGGTAATCCGGGGCTAGGTGGGGGGGGTGGGGTTCTACACGATAGTGTGGGTCGTCCTTTGGTGGGATTTTCAGCTTTCTTAGGCCAGACGTCTAGTCTCCATGCCGAAGCCCTTGCTCTCTTGACAGGTCTCCGGATATGTGGTCAAAAGGGGGTTACAGATGTGAGCATCCAGTTGGATTCTCAGGTCTTGGTGGGAATTCTTCAACATCGTTTGCAGTGTCCGTGGCATGTTCGTGGGGAGGTCCGGCAGATTTGGAGTCTGGTTAGGGACCCTTCTAGGTTTTCTCATTGTTTCCGGGAAGCAAATAAGGTAGCAGATGCGTTGGCTAATGTAGGTGTAGCTCACCCTCATCAAGCTGTTCAGCTCTATGAGCACTGGAGTGACTGGCCGCGGCTGGCCCGTGGTGGTGTTAGACTCGATAGCATTGGGGTCCCTTCCTTTAGGATGGTGCGAAACTCCTAACCATTGATCATCGGTTCTTTGATCTTTTCTCTGTACCACGACTTGTATGATGAATTAAAGCGGGGGTGGCGTCCCTTCCCTTTACCGGGGTTAGCCAAAAAAAAAAAAAAAAAAACGAGTAAACACATAGTGTCACATAAACACATAACATAATCATGATATCTGGATGCCAAGCCCTAAGAAAGCGGTAACACATAGCACATAGGCATGCAAACCACACAAACAAGAAATAAAGCGAATATAAACCCTAACTATTACATTTGAGGGGGGCCTACTACAAGCTAAATGGGGAAATGAAATAAAATAATTAAAATAAATACCTAACTATTACAACTTGGCATTCAACTGCCTCCCCAAATAATCACAAAATTAAATTAAAATAAATATACGAAATTAAAACAAATAAAGTGGATAAATAAATAAATAAATAAAATGAAAACATTCAAAGGCATGCAATTAAGCACATAAATCACATAGACACATAGGGTCAAATAAAGTGAAAATAAGGGAAGAGTATACCTTCCTTGAGTTGGAGCCCTAATGGAGTGAAATTATTTATTTACCCTCCAAAAACAAAGAAAAGTCAGGGCACCAATCTAATTTTGAGAAAATTAAAGAAAATATGCAAATACAAGCTCACTTGGTCATAAAACTCTTAAATTCATGCATTAAGTGCAATTTAAATAAAGCGTGGTAATTAATTGAAGCAAACAAGCAATAAAGTTGTAAAATTAAAGCTGCCAAGGACCAAATTGAGGACATTATTCAATTGGTTGGGTCATAGTGAAATGAAGGGAAACTTGGGGGGCCAAAGTCCAATTTTTGGAAACATTTTCATGCAAATTCATGCAAAGTGGCGTGAGAAAGCTTCTGCAATCAAAAACAAACAAATGAACTGCTGCAACTTTTCTATAACTTCAGCAAATTTCTTTTCCCGCAACCATGTTCATGCCATTTCCTTATTCAATTTAAATGCATCATGCAAGCAAATCAAGAAGAAACATGATGTAATTGTTATCTAAACAAAACACCATAGCTTGGGACCGAAAAGGAATGACAATCAAAAAAGCAAGACCATAAAAGTTTTATTCGGCAAAGCTGAAATACATTTTCCAGCAAACATTTGAACATGATTCAAGTGCCCTTCCAACCCAAGCGCCCAAACTCAACACCAAACCTTCCATTTCCTTCCTTCAACACAAGATTAAACATGAAACTGAAGTGCAAAAGCTCAACTAGCAACTAAAGAGAAGAAAACACAGCATAAAAAATGTAGCAGCTTTCCCTGCTGCGTTTTGAAGGGAACAACTCCTAAATACTTGGCAATTTCAGCAATATCATACCATGAGCTTCCAACAAACTTTCAGACTCAAAATGCATCAGAAATGATCTACATTCATGCTAAACTCTGACTCAAACAAACCAGAAACAAGGCAAATGAAACTGATGATTTTTATTACTGAATTCTCAAACACGCCTATGCTTCATTTTGTAGAAAGGAAAACAGGAACTAAAATCTTGCTTAATGCTCACCAAACCAAAATCTCTCAAATAAGCACTTGAGTAATCCTCAGGACTACACAGAAACGCAAGGAAAACAACTACTGGAACAAATGCGAACCAGAGAAAAACCAGTTGCAAAACATCAAAACATTTCTGCATTTTCCTATTGCAGCCCTTGCCGCAAACTCCCTTGATGTTTTGGAGTTTTAACAAGTTCATGCACCAGTCATTGACAACTCCAGAAAAGAAACCTTAATCTAAAACCAGATAAACAGCAACATTTAGCGTCCAAACCATACAAAACTTAAATTGAGATCATGAAATTCTCATGTTTAAACGCGAAATCATGCAGATGCGATTCAGAGAAGGTTGCTGCAATTTTTCCAGCCACGATTCTATGCAATTGCTATGTTCGTCAAGTGTAAATTTTCCATCCGAACACAGCTAACATCTCAACCGAACATCAAAGGCATGATCTTGAACAATAAAAAAAATCGCAGAGATTCATTATTCAAGCAAACAAGTTTTCGGCAAAAAAATTTTGCAATCTTCGGGGTTTCATCCTTTCATTACCAAACATATAAGTTATGTAAATCAGTTTCTAAACTAGCAAACTGTGCAACCTATACCCTTTATTGCTAAAATCCATCACCAACCTTGCGAAAAACACAAGCAAAACAGCAGACATGGAAACATCAAAAAGATAACAAACACAATAAAGCTCATGAAGCCGAACCCGCAGCTAAAAATGTCTCAAGATTCATGTCCCATCGAATTGTATTCTCATGAAAGGGACTCGCCAAAGCAATAAAGGAGGAAACTATGGTTACCTGAGAGTGTTCTGAACCCGGACGGACGCAAGGAGTAGCAAGAAAGCCGTGCAGAATGTAACGACCCCATTTTCCCCAAAGGCGAACCAGAGGGGTCAACGGGCCGTCTGCCCAGCTCTCGCCGGGACTCAGTCGATCACTACAGTCCTCAAACAAATACAGGATAAAATCTCAAATATATATATCAAATATTCCAATATTTACATATCAAAAGCGAAGCGTCCACGCTTCCACTGCGCCACTCTGATCCTTGATCACAATTATAATACAGGAGGAAATCCAAATCTTTACCATTACACATCCAATCAATTCTAAACGTTCGATACAAACCCAATAGGAATGATTACACAAAAGGAAATACAAATTCAATCCATCAATTGAGATAATCCATGAATAAACACTACAAGCCCTTCCTTCGCCTTGAGCCCTGTGGAGGGGAATAAAACATTTTGGGGTGAGCTAGAAGCTCAGCGAGTAACCAATAAAATCAGTTATCAAATCAGGTTCACAATCATTCATTTCAATAATGCCATGCTTCAATAATCAATGCACTTTCATTTCTCTCGTGAGCCAGTGAAATCATGGTACTTAGACGGCCAACGCTCCACACAATCATTTATCATTGAACATTTAACATTAAACAGTGAGAATGAGCCCATTGGTGCTCTACAGGAACATTAAACGGTGGAGGAGACGTCGGGGTCCAGCACACGAATTCCAAGTACTCATTTGAGCCAAAACATGTCAAGAACTTATATGCCGGCACACAGGATATGCAATCAAAGAAACGATGCAAGAAACATTTTAAAGTACCGTTGGAAAGAGTTTAAGGTCACTCACCTCCACGGCTCATAATTCTCGTCCAATATAGCCAATTTCATCATTCAAGTCCAAGCCTTTTAACTTAACTCAAAGTCACCAATGCTATCCAAAATCGGACAGCATTTCCCCTTAATTCCTTTATTTTTCCAACCTACAAACAAACCCAATCACATGCAATTAACCACATTTGCTCATACAATTCGAAAACGATAAAACATATCCAATTAGGGCCTCAATTCCCCTCAATTGAGCCAATTAGAAGCTCATAAGCCAACCTTGGAAAAATTCCCCAATTGAAACCCTAAAACCAGAAATTTATACCATAAGCGTAAATTTCCCACAAACAATCACAATTAACGCACAATCACTTCATTTAACACCATTTCAAGCCATCAATTCAAGCCAACTAAGCATAATCATTTAAACTCAGAAAAATACCCAATAAATCAGAAATTCATCAATATTTCCTTAAACCCATAAAATACTCCACAATATAACACACATGGCCACCACAAACCATTAATTCACCAATACTAGAACAAAAGGAACTTGTATATCCAACTTACCTCAAATTCAAGAGAGTAATCAAACCAAAGCTTCCCCTTCAAAACCAATCCATCAAAAGCTTTGATCCACCATAGCAAACCCTTGTGTGAAATATTGTCCAAAACCATTGGTTAAAACTCAAGATTGAGTAAGAAATCAAAGCTAGAAAATTGAAGAGTTTTTCTTTCTCTCAAGGCCTCGGTTGAGCAGGAACAAAAAATGGAAGAAAAGACAACAAAAACCAGATATTTATGAAGGAAACAGCCGGTCAAACCTTCTGACCGGCTGTGACACGTCACAATCCGGCCGGAATCTGGCCGGATTTCCGGCCGGATTCTTGGCTGGATTCAAGGCCGAGGCTGATCAAATTTTTTTCAAAACTGCAAGGCAATCCGGCCAGCTATCCGGCCAGAAACTGGCCGGATTCTCGGCCGGATTTGGCCCCTGCATTTTTCCGAAAATTTTCTTTTCTTTTCCGAGTTGCAAACTGTGTTACACCGCTTGTCCAACAAAACTTGTATAAAAGGAAACCCTCCTTTGGTCGGGGCGTCACACAGAATGGAGCCGAAGAAATTTCGTCGCCGCAAAGGAAAACGCTGACGAACCCGCGACTTGGAGCTTCACTTTGGCCCTTTTAGAGTTGTTATCCCCTTTCCTCTAGCCCAAGCTTTTCTTTTCTACCCGAAGCCTCTCAGCAGCTTTTTCTTGCTCACTTTTCTTCCCTTAGTTTCCCGTTTCTCTCGCCCAGCCCCCTCTCGGCTCTCTCTTCACTTTTTTGGTTACTGGTTCCTCTTCCCCGCAACCCCATAGCCTCTCTCAATCTCCCTTCCTCCTTTTTCTAATCCTAGCCGCCACTCCTCCCTATTTCCAAACCCCAGTCGCTGTACCTTTTTTCCTTTCTCAGATTTTTCTCGTTCGGCTTTCTCTCGGTTCTGTCCTCCAATCCCAGCCGCCAACCCCTTGCTCTTGCTCTCCACTTTTCCTTACTCCCTCAGTCTTGTTTTCTTATCCTCAGCCGCCAGCTTTCACTCTTAGCTGTCCTTCCCATAACTCTTCTTTCATCCGTCAGACTCTCCCCCCCCCAAAACCTCCTCTCATTTCATAACTTATATAGACAATCAAACCTAGCATCTACGATGTTGTTTTCTTTCTGCATTTTCGGATGATTTCAGGCCATTATATGGCTATTATCTCACATGCATTTGGAGCTCATGGATGAAGCCATATGGCCTGTACCATGGTCATATGACGGAGCAAAAAAAAGTGAAAGAAAACAAGTGGAAAAGGAGTTGAAAAATG